GACACCTCACACGTGCCACTGACTTAGTGATCGTTGGCGATGTGCATGCCAATATTGATACCAAATGTGTCTGGTATTCCAACAGCTATAAAACGTCTAGTTTTTTAGTGGGGTCTATAAATACCCCCAAGCTTCCACCTTTGGAGGCTGCTGATTCTGCTGACACTCTCACACATTTTTCAGCCTTGAGAGCACTCTCCAACCCTCTCTTAGTGATTGATTTATTCAAACTTGCAAAATCCATCTTGTGGGTTGAGTGAGATTCAAATTGAGAGCAAGCCACCCTTGAGCACTTGTGCATATTTGTTGATCTCATGATTTGCATTTGTTACTCTTGGATTCTTCGGTCCTAGACGACTAGGCGTCGCTAGAGAGCACCCAAGAGCTTGTGGTGTGCCTCGGGAAGTTTGTACTGGTTCAATTCTACCACCGCAAGGGAAGGAATCAACTAGTGGAAGGAGGAAAATGAGTTGAAAAAGACTCTGGCTAGAGTGGCCTTCATGGTCCTCTAGAGCTGCCCTTTGTTGGATCGCTCGCAGCCCCCTCAACGGAGAGTAGGACTCGACGAAGTCAGAACTTCGGTAAAATAAATCTCGTGTCTCGATCTCTCTTTTCTTTTGGCATTGGTGATCTACTTGTGTTGCTTGAGCTTGTTGATAGGTATCTAGTAGGTGCCAGCAACTTGGATTGAAAAGAGAAGTCGATCGAAGCAAATCGAGGGCTGATCCAGCAAGCCCTTGAATACCGGACGTGTCCGGTATTTGGACCCTGCGCTGAATTTATTCACTTATTGCTCTAACTTGTTTGTTGCAGGGTTGTAGCTCATAGATTTATTCTATATACCTTGTATTCTCTGTTGGCTCACTCGTGAGGGGTTTATTTCTTTGATTTGGAGTTTCCGAGTAATTGGAAACTCCAACACTAATCATTTCAGCATTTTAAAGGGTTGCATTTTTAGAAACGCCTATTCACCCCCCTCTAGGCGGCATTCTCGGTCCTCTCAGTATCTATAGGGTAAGTTCGATGGCATCTCGCCTTTCTTCGAGTTGAGTGGACACTTTCCTCTCCTTGCCTGGATCGGGTTATGCGGATTTGACTTCGCGTGGTCCTTTGTTGTGTATGAGCTTGTGGCGCATTGCGCTGTGGTCTTCATGAGCGAGCCGTGTTGGCTAGTTTGCGCCGATCGACATTGGTCGTCCGAGGTGTGGACGCGCTGACAGAGAGTCATTTTTGGCGTGCTTATTCTGATGTGCCACGTCCCTTACCGGTTGGCTGATACAGTCGTTCGTTGTTTGGCTACCCTAGCGTTGGAGGCCCCACGCTATGGTGGCACCGACCTCAATGTCGTTGTGCGAGGTCACGCGCTGGGGAGGTCAGACGGTGACATCCTTGTGATGAGTGATTCCGCCGCTCGTGGAGTGAGAGTTCTTGTTGGTGAAGTTTCAGTTGCCTGCATACGCCACCAGTTCCAAGCTTCCAGCATGTGATGATCCTTGTGTAAGGATTCTGTGTTACACGGGTGTTCTTGTTGTGGTGAACATGTTATGGGTTTTGTGTATGTATGGCATGTGGTCGGCGCATTCGCTTTGTCACCTTGCTGTTTCCTTGCTCTCTTATAGTTCAAGCTAGGAATGTACGCCATCCTCCTTAGTCCTGTGCGTGTGGGTATGTGTTTTAGCCTGGGGGCTAGCCCATGGGGCAGCAAAGGCACGTGACCTGATCACACAACAAGACGTCGGGGAAAGGTCGCAGATCCGGTGCGATGAGAGAAGTAAAGCGAGCGAGCGACTAGAGTTCTCTTTCCTTTTGTTCCTTCTTGAGCGAACGAGTTTCCTGTTTCCTTTTAGTCTCATGCGTGGGTGCCTGGCCTTACCCAGGAGCTGGCCCATGGGGCTTAGCCAGGGTGACCCTGGTGCGAATGAGAAATCAAGGTTCGGGTCACCGGTTCATCATGATTTGAGGCGTGATTAGAAAGAGCTCGAAACGAGCGAGTCACCGGGACGATGACAAATAGTGCTATGCCATGGATCACGTATATGTGACTATGTGTACTACCCCCACAAGTGAATCATGTCCGGCTACCAACACGAGCTGGATCGAGTCGCTTGGGAGTATGGACGTTGCTAGGGTGAAGTGTATTGACATCATGTTCCCTGGTTGGCTCTACGGGTCGGCTCTAAGTTTTTTGGAACTACAGGTGAGCCTACACATGTATCTAAACGTTCTTGGGTAGAAAGGCTAAAGTTAAGGTGGATGTGACTGACCGATGTACTAGAAGCTATCGTGAACCTAGTTGTCATCTCTCGAGATGAGGCGAGCCCCCGAGCGCCTATTTGTGGTGGTGTTGTTGCGGTCCCTAGGCCGCGAGCTGATGAAGGTGCTTCTTTATTGCTTGGAGTGGTCGTAGCTGACATGGGCCGACCTCTCGGGTGGCTTTGGGTCGACTTTTGCCTACTCAACATCCTCAGCGGGCTCGCGAGCCCCCGGGGATGATTCCTTCATGTCCGGCCTGTTGTAGCTTCTGGCCGAGAAGGCTCGCGCATTCTGGTGCTTGAGCCTTCATGGCACGACGACATCGCGGTCATCGCATTTTCACTTCTAGGTGTGCTTACTGCTCTCGACGAAGAGCTAGCGCGACCTATCGCTGTGGAAGCAGGTTCTGAGGGCAACGCGGTTTGGTCCGCTCGGCGTGGCACATGGTGCACTCTGGGAGCCCGCTTCCTCGGATCCACATGCCTCCAAGTGAAGGCTGATAGTTCACTGAGACATAATGGACGGTTTATCTACCATGCAGGACTAGGCCCTGGTTCTGGGTTTGGCCTTTAAGGTGTGGCGTCGGGTAGCCACCTGATCACCAATGATGATGCCGGGTGGCGGCGGGTGATTTCGTCACTTATGTATGCCCTAACGTGCTGCGTTCCGCTGGTGGCGGAGGCACCGATTAGGACATGGTTCTACCGCCGGTCCAAGGCCTCCCTCGCGGTTGGCCTAGATGTGGTAGAAGCTGGTGATAGGCGTTGACCCATTGGTGTGGATGACCCTGCGGTTCCCCAAAAGGATGTGGCCGGTTGGTGCCATTCCTTGGGTGAGTTCGCCTTGAGCTGTGGGCCTCTGGTTCCCTGGGTGGAAGATTTGGCCATGGCCGGTGGCAAGAGAGGGTACTTGCCCCCCTATGTAAGTGAACTCTAAGATACTGCCACTGAGGGTAGTTCCAAGAGTGTGTCCACCATAGACCGCGGGGTCCAGATCTCCGGAGCGGAGGTCTTGGACGCGGCTGAAGGCAAATGCGGACACTAGCCCTTCGACGTGGGTGAACTTGTAGTTTTCATGGCAGATGTGGCCGCCATGGGCCATTCCACGAGGGAGTCCACCGATGGTGCGAGGAGCCATCGCTTCCTTCTCAACAATCAAGGGTGCGCGACTATCCCGTACCTGGCGCCAACTATCGGTGTTTCATAAACCAGACTAGTAAATTTATATGATTACCGCGCTTCTCTAGAAAGACGATGGTAGCATCCAAAAGACACGAGGATTTATATGGGTTCAGGCCGGAGCCCTACGTCCTGTCTTAGAGATGATTGAATGCATGTTCCTCGCTTGAATGGTCTGAACTTCTTACAATGGGGGTGCAAGAATGGTGGAAGAGGTAGGAGATCTAGAGCTAGGAGATGGACTGCCTGAAGGGAAGCTTCATGAGTCCAGAGATGCGTAGAATGAGATAATGTCCCCAGATCAGGATGCCTAAGGCCAGGACATGTACAACGAAGAAGGTTCTCTCGCCCGAGGGGTCGTGAGTCTAAGGGAGAGGCCTAGCTAACTTGGCTTGCAAGCTACGTCGTCATGTGAAGTACGCCTGGGCGTGGTTGTCGTCATGGTCTTATGCCCACGTCGCGGTAAGGCGTGGCATGGTCTATGCCGGCCGTGGCGGCACTGTAGACATGGTGGTGGTGCGCCAGCCATCCTTTGCGATGTGTTCTCCGTTATGGCCTTCGTCATCGCCTCCTATCTCCTAGGGGTGTCATACCAGAGTTGGTAGCTGCTCCCAGGCCACCGATCGCCTGGTTGTCTTGAGGAGCAGGTGGCCACGATCCCGAGCTCTGGGGTCATGGCTCCCGCCGGCTGGATGGCCTCTATGTCAAGGCCTCCGTCGTGGATCCCATCCCGTAGTGGGTAGAATCGTACATGCGTCTTGTCGAGCCGTGTCACACCCGATTTTAAGGACAAAATTGATGCACAACATATGTATGCCAGGATCAATTTATTTATACATATGTCGACTTCATTATAGTATCATAGTAGGTTTGCTTACATAACGAAAACATTATTACAAAAATGACCCGTGGGTCTAAAAGAAAATCTACTAAGCTTCCAGCGGAAAAGGACGCCATCTACACAGGAAGGTTGACCAGGGGTAGCACCAGCCTAATACATGTCGTCGGGGTCAAAGGCAACGTCTTCAACGTACTCCTCCTCCTCGTCTCCAGCGTCTAGGTGGGATAGGAGGGGGGACAAAGAGGAAGGGTGAGTACATTGAAATGTACTCCACAAGTGTAGGAAAAGTATGACATGAGGCTTAAAGCAAGGATAGGCTAACTTGGTTTGACACCAGCACCTAAGCGACACGCATATTACCTTAATTTCCTTAGCACCTAATTACTAAGTGAGATTCTGCCTTCTCCTCAGAGGACCAAACCACACTTGGATTCCATCCAAGCACCACACTTGGATTCCATCCAAGCTCCCAACTGAACCACCCATTCCCTTACCAAGGGAACCACCCAACCAAACCAGAGCCATCTAATCCTGAAGAAGTCTAAGCCCGCTCTTGACCGTGAGTACGACTGATATACCGGTTTTACACTCTGCAAAGGTTGCACACTTTCACCATGAGTTGTGTTTCCCATTTGTGAGGTGATCAGCCTCTTGACCCACTTCCAAGGTAGATCAATAGGGTTTCACTACAAGGCCTTTACAAAGAGTCCTCCCATATGTATTAGTTCTCATAGGGCACGCATGGAAGCCATCTCCTGTAGCCCAGGACTAGGCAAGCCTAGGAGCCAACTCCCGTACCAAGCGGTATCCTGCATAGAAGCATTCTTTTGTACCCATGTCATTATGAGACTAATATCCACATATGGATCCCCTAATTAATTAGCCAGGTCCATCCCATCCAGACCTCATGGTTGCGCTGTTAAGCCGGATTACATGCTCCGAGAACCGGTCCTTAGGGACCCAGAGTAGAATCAAACACAACCAATGATCCTGCTTAGATTTCCTATTCACCATGTTGCTAAAAACATTACCAGTAGCCATTGCATAGATCATTAATCAAGTTTAAATTACAACCATTCCCATCCCAAGACTGCAAAGCTAAGCATGGCATCTACCCATCCAAACCGGGTTTCAAGGATGATGTAACAAGTTCTAATAAACACTAACATGGGATTCAAATTTAGACTCTGCATGCAACTAATGGTCTAACTACACTAACCCACAATAAAACAAAAGTAGGAGCAAGTATGGTCAAGGCCACTTGCCTTCAAACTGGATTTGTTCCGGGATATCAATCTGCTGGTCCCGGAAGTTCTCGATTCAACACTGTATGTAATCAATACACCAAACATGGCCAACAAAACATGATAAGAACAATACGCCAAACATTGGAAAAACATATTATAAAGTTTACTAACGCATAGTACTCGTCAATACGAACTCGTGAGCAGAAGAACCACCTAAAACGGAGCTACGGTTTGAAAGTTATGGGCTTTTGAAGTTGGATGGCAAAACTGTAAATAAACTGAACTCGTTTTCGGATTTTTAAATAAATAAAACTGAAAAAGAAAAGAGCTCTGGGCTGCGGGTATGAAAACTAGATAAGATAGGGGCTGAAATGGAAGAATAGCATAACTCATGAAACTGTGATTTAATTTGACAAAACTGAAAGAGCTAGATTGTAAGTTTGCGTGCACTATGCTGCGCACTCAGTCCACAGTCCATGGACTGGGGTAGGGCTGTGAGAGCAGCGCACCATGGACCATGTCCACGATGATGTATTTGAAGTTGTATTCATGGATTTATTTTTCTAATAAACAAAAACGGCCATAAATTGTGTATGACGTCGGAGTGACATCATCAAGCTTACAAAGAGAAGGCACGCACGGCCAACCTGCTAGTGTGAGGTACGTATATGTATATATTCCTCATGTATTTCCAGAATTGTTTCCGTGAAGAAAAACGGCCGTAATGCGAGTGTGATGTCACGATGGTGTCAACAAGCTAACAAGAGGCAGGGCGTCGGACGGGAGGAGCTCACGGTGCATGGTACCCGCGGCGGAACTTCGCCGGCGACACCCACGAGATACAGAGCACGGGAGACGACGAGATCAGGCGCGTTGGATTCGGGAGCTCACCGTGAATATGATGGAGGAGTTCGTGGTGTCAGGTTCCGATCGGAGACAGACAGGCCCGGCTCTAGAGGAGGGGCAAACAGTGCGACCGGTCAGAGGCGAACAAGCCCCAAGCGGTGGCGGCAGTGATACACGGGTCCTCAGGACCTGTTCTTACGGGGTGGAGAGGGGAAGGAGGGGCTCGGTCGCGGAGCTCCGTGCTCCCGGGAATGGCGGCGGCGGCGTCCGGTCCAGCGGACGGAGGAGAGGGGTGGAGCTGACGACTGGGGGCCACTCGTCAGCGACCGAGTGAGAGGGAGCCAGCGAGGTCCGCTTGGCATTTTTTTTCGGTTATAATTTTCGATCTTCGGAGAAACGCTATTACTATTCATCTATTTTAAAGCATGCCATTATAATTTTTCGTTTTTCACAAAAATACCACTGAATACGTATGGACACAGCCTGGGCCCAGCTGTAGGCGTATACGAAGACGTATACTTCATCACCCCTGTCACTGACACGCGGGCCCTACATGTCATCTTCTTCTTCCTCCTCTCCTCCTCTCTCTCTCCATCCCGACGCGGCCACGGCCACGGCGAACCGCAGCAGCAGCAGCACGCCAGCAGCCCGCGAGCAACAGCAGCACGCCGAGTAGCAGCAGCAGCACGCTGACGTTGACCTTGTAGTACCGCACGAACCAGTCGACGAAGTGGCGGAGACCGACCTCGAGCGAGGTGGCGGGGTGGTAGCCGAAGTCACGTGCGATGTGGCTGACATTGGCGTGCGTGAACGGCACGTCGCTGTTGGTCGGCATCGTGACGACGCGCTTGTGTGCCTTCTTGCCGAGGAGCATCTCGAGGATGGTGACCATGCGGGTGACGGGCACCGGCGAGGTGTCACCGAGGTTGTACACGCGGAGCGGCGTGGGGCCCCGTTTCTTGCCGGACTTGGAGCTCGTGCTCCTGCCGGCCGTGTCGAGCGCGCCGAGGCAACCCCTGACAACGTCGTCAATGTAAGTGAAGTCGCGGCGCGTGTCGGCGCCGTCAAAGGTGCGGAACAGCGTGATGGGCTCACCGGCGACGATGCTGCGAGCGAAGGAGAAGTAGGCCATGTCGGGGCGGCCCCACGACCCGTACACGGTGAAGAATCGCAGGCCGGTGATGGAGAGCCCGTAGATGTGGTTGTCGCGCGCGCGATGATGGCCTCGCCGCCTTCTTGGTGGTCGCGTCTGGCCGCGCTGGTCGGTCGATCACGGTGGTCCTCGGAGAATGGCGCCTCGGTGTTGAGCCCGTACATCGACGATGACGACGCCCACACGATCGCCGGCCGGGTCGACGTGCTGGTGGCGGCCTCAAAGATCGCGACGAGGCCGTGGCGTTGGAGGCCACGTCGCTTGCGGCGCCCGCATCGCGTGGCGGGCCGCTACTGCGCCGTGAGAGGTGCAACAGCGTCGCGTGAAGGGCATCGCGGACGAGCCGCAGCAGCGGCGGCGTGCACCACGCGGGACGAGAGCCGCTCGATGAAGCGCGACTCGGGCTCTCTCCTCCTCGCCGGCAATGTCCTCGGCGCGTCGCCCGGGCGGTGAGCTCCAGCCCGCCGCGTCCTGCTTTTTCATTTGTAGCGCGCTCCGTCATTGGTTGCTTTCGCCCATGGCCAGCAGAAGAATCACGACAATGGCTCGTCGGCTTCAGCCGCATAAACCCGCAGCCGCCGCCACCGGCAGTGCCCGCCGTGGCCGTGTCGGGATGGAGAGAGAGAGATGAGGAGAGGAAGAAGAAGATGACATGTGGGGCCCGCGTGTGAGTGACAGGGGAGATGACATATACGTCTTCGTATACGCCTGCAGCTGGGTCCAGGTTATGTCCATACGTATTCAGTAGCATTTTTTTAGGAAACGTAGAATTGTAATGACATGCTTTAAAATAGGCGAATAGTAATGGCGTTTCTCCAAACATCAAAAAATATAATAGCATGAATCCAAATAACTTTTTTTTTAGAAAAGGGTTGGATTTTTATTAATATAGGAAAAGAACTAATACATCCAGCCCCGTAAATGGCACCCCTCAAGAAAATAAAAATTACAGCTAAGTCCTCTGGAGGAGCACCCCGCAGCCTTCGTCGTCGCCGACCGATGTTGCAGCAAGCCGGTCCTTCTCCACCTCCCGCAATGAAGAAGACACGGAATGAAGCTCATGGCCGAATTCCGGATCGACGAAGAATCTTCATCAAAGTTTAAGGAGCCCATAAAAAACACGCCCAAGGCGTGCTGTTGATTCGTTGAACGCACCGGCCAAAGGCAAGCTGCCATCTCCTCGTCGTTGCGGGAATTTGACGCCAGTTGCCTCACCATCCAACCCCGGACGACGACCAGCAAACCCACGAGGGGGATCTGAATACACCAACCCGAACACACAGGAAGGTGCATAGCTAACCTCACAAGGAAACTTCTGACGCGTCCACCAGAATTTCCTTTGAGGAACAAAAGATGGATGGATGGCACCCCATCCCCATCGATACGTCCACCAAAACTCCTCCACGTACCAGCCGCCATACAATGGCTTACGAGGCCAGCATCGACGATGAAGGCATGGGCATCGCCGACACAGAGGAATCGAACACCAACGCAAATGAATACATCGATGGCATACACGTCACTGTCGAATACCCTGCAAAAGATGCTGTCGCCGAGCACCACGCACCCACCAGCCACAACCGAGCCTCGCTCACCATGGAAGGAGACGAAAGCAGAGAAGGTGAGGAAGAACCAAAAGAGACCCGACGATTTTCTCACCAGGACAAAATCCAACCCTAAACTACCTAAAATTACCCTAATAGGAGGGGATATGTACCCTCAGCTCACCGGTGCCATAGAGGCCGCCGGAGGCAAGGGAAAGCCGGCGGATCCGGCGGCAGAACCGCAACCGCCTCGGAGTCGCCCTTGCGAAGAGTCGGGAAGAAACGAGAGGTAACTCCGAATAGAGGAGAGGCGCTAGCGCGGGCCGGCCTGGCTGCGCGGAAAGAAGGGCCGAGGCTCAGGAAGGAGAGATGTATTTCAGCCTTTTTCTTTTCCTTATGTAAACTCCTTTTAAGATCAAATTCAAAAGCTTTTTGGATAGAGCAAAATCGATTTGACCCTAAATCGGATTTAATAAATTATTTTCCATTCAATAAAATTAATGCAAATGGCATGAATGCAACAAACATATCCAGTTAAAATATAAAAAAATTAAAAAATTCACGTTTTGTAGATTTCAATCACTAAAAGCCTAACTAAATCTTGGAAATTTTTAATAAATTCATAAAATTATTTATTTTATTTAGTGTTTTCTATTCACAACCCAAAATAGAATTTTTGGGGGTGTGACAGGCCGTATCTGGCGGGTGGGCACCGTACCGGCCATCACCGCGTGGCGCAGGGATGGCGTGATTGGACCAAGGTGACCGCTGTCCCCTCGGTCCTTGCGGGGTCAGTGCGGCGTGCCTACTCTTGTCAGATCGGGCACGTTTGGCTGGGCTCGACCTCTTCCTGTTCCTCCCAGAGGTCGGGACGATGGAGAGGTCGTGAGTCCCCTGTGTGCATCATCGGTGCATAAAAGGGCTTGTTTGGATCGTGTTCTTTCACACAGCGTGACCATCATGCAGCAATAGGTGTCTGAGAAAAATGCTAACCTCTAAAAAAATCATATCTCTAACCCAACCTCGGTGTGGAAATAGCATGACACCAGACAAAAATTACTGGTTTTGTGTCATATTTTAGCAAGCACTGCTAAAATTACTGGTTTTCCAAACCACTGGTTTATGTAAATCCATAACGTTCAAGTACCTAATTTCAAGCACTACTAGAATTACTGGTTTTCGGCTTGAGAGTAGCAAACACGACTCGAAAATTGGGTTTTATCTGAACTCTGAATACTCGAAAATTGGGTTTTATCTGAACTCTGAATCTAAACAGCAAAAACAAGAAACCTGCTAGTCCGGGCCAAATCCAGCCCCGTTCAGCTCCGACTTGCACCGCCACCTCGGCATCGGCCCACCTTATCCGACCGCCACGTACCCGCCGGCCGGCCGCCGTTGGCCCAAGACAACGGCCGCGGACACCGCGCGTCCGCGCCGCGGACACTCCGCCTGTCCCTGCTCCTCGGGCCCCTCAGTGGCCCACACGGCAGAATCGAGCATTTGCCCCCGAATCAGATCCGAGAGAGCGAAAGCAAGCCACGGCGCCGTCCCTCCCCATCCCCGCGGTCGTCGCCCACCGGTTTCTTCCTCCTCGTTTCTTCGGTTGACGGGTTGAGCTGTGCACAAGGAATCCGTGGAGCTGTTGTACCAGACAGAGAGAAAGCGAACCGTGCAGCCAGGCTCGTGCGATCCAGTTCCCACCCGTGGCCGCGCACGCCGTCTTCTTGGTTTCTTGGTGAGGTCCTTCTGCTCGTGTCGCGCCGCCCAGCCACCACCCGCGTTCTGTCGCTCGATTGTCCCTATACCACGCAGAAAAAGGTGGCCTTTTCCCCTTCGCGCGCGGGTTTGGTACTGAGTGTGTCGGACTGGTATTCGTGTTCCGTCGGGTGCCGAGGTGGGCTCGCGGTCTTCTGCCGCCTCGTCGTCGCCGGCTCCCCGTCGCGTTCATCGCAAGGTGCGACCTTCTGGACTCCACATAATTCGAAATCAATATGTTGATTTGATGTTATGTGCGTGCTGGGGAGAGCACATCTGAGCACCTGCATTGCATCTTCCGGACGTTTGCTAGTGTGCTTAATCGGATTTGTTCTGGATCTAGCTCATTAGATGCGTTCCTCTGTGCAAAAGCTGTTGTTTTCGATGTCCCGGATGCCTAGGCTGTGGTTGTAGTACGAGATGAAATGATGCTACATTATCCTGAATTGCCCTCAAGTGATCTGTAATTCTCGTCTCCTGGAAGTGGTACACTAGCTGACTAGTTCACCAGTTCTGATATTCCTTCAAAGCAGCTGTGTTGTGTAGTTGAAATGGGTCAACACGAGCAAAGCATGTTTCAAATAAAGAAATGTTTTCCTTTTTCTATATCTGTGACATTGAGCTACCAAATGTATCAAAACCATGTCATCTGCCTTTTAAGAAATGTTCGGAATATTTGGTGGTTGGTTCAGTAGTTTGTATTTCATTAAGCGTTGGTTGGTCATTCCAATTTAGAACCGACCACTCTAGTTTGGCTTTGGCCCTTAGCAGTTCTCTACTCTTATTATTCCAATTTCAGAGCCTAGCTGACTAGTTCACCAGTTCTGATATTCCTTCAAAGCAGCTGTTTTGTGTAGTTGAGCAAAGCATGTTTCAAATAAAGAAATGTTTTCCTTTTTTATATCTACGACATTGAGTCACCAAATGCATCAAAACCATGTCATCTGCCTTTTAAGAAATGTTCGGAATATTTGGTGGTTGGTTCAGTAGTTTGTATTTCACTAACGTTGGTTGGTCATTCCAATTTCAGAACTGACCACTCTAGTTTGGCTTTGTCCCTTAGCAGTTCTCTACTCTTATTATGTTTTCTGGTTGTATCCAAATCTGGACAGCTTTTGTAACTCACTGCTCTATATATCTATTGAGTGCTTAATTCGTGTTGCTATGCCCTATCATTTTTCGATAATGGAAATAAATCTGGCTTCATCTCTTGTCTCCAAGATAATCAGACCACTTATTACAGTATTGTGTAACCACACAAATGTCTCACTCAAAACTCAATTATGAAATTATAAGGCCGCAACTGTCATGTCTAATTGAAATGGGTCAACACAAGCAAGCATGTTTCAAATAAAGAAATGTTTTCCTTTTTATATCTACGACATTGAGCCACCAAATTTATCAAAGCCCATGTCATCTGCCTTTTAAGAAATGTTCAGAATATTTGGTGGCTGTTTCAGTAGTTTGTATTTCACTAAGCTTGGTTGGTCATTCCAATTTCAGAACCGACCACTCTAGTTTGGCTTTGTCCCTTAGCAGTTCTCTACTCGTATTATGGTTTCTGGTTGTGTCCAAATCTGGACAACTTTTGTAGCTCACTGCTCTATATATCGTTGAACTCCGCCTATGTTGTCTCAACATAGCAGGTCCCAAGCCCTGGTAAAGGAGGAGGGTTGTGATAGGCGTGGCGAGCCAACGTTAAATCTAGCCATTCTAATGGAGATGAAACCCAAAAGAAAACCGTTGGGGCGTAACCCTCTTAGCGACACGCCATATCGGAACCCGGGTATGGTGTTAAATGGGCAAGGGCCGGGTCGGCACCCCCTTGGTGACGCGCCGTGTCGCGATCTGGGCATGGTGTCAAGTGAGCAAGGATCGGGTCATCGCTTCCTTAGTGGCGCGCTACATCGGTGCCCGGGTGTAGTGAAAAATGAGCAAGGGTCTTCACATCTGAGTCGACGGGTGTGAAGGGTAAGGAAGCTAGTCGAACCAACTAGGATCCGTTTAGGTAGTTGGAATGTAGAGTCGCTTACAGGTAAGTTAAGAGAATTAGTTGATACCGCGACTAGGAGGCGTGTAAATATATTATGCGTTCAAGAGACTAAATAGAAGGGTCAGAAGGCGAAGGAGGTGGACAATACAGGTTTCAAGCTTTGGTACACAAGGACAGTCGCGGATAGAAATGGAGTAGGAGTTTTGATTGATAAGAGTCTCAAGAATTGTGTGGTGAGAGTGAGAAGGTAAGGAGATAGGATTATTTTAGTCAAGTTTGTCATTGGTGATATGGTCTTGAACGTAATTAGTGCGTATGCCTCCCAAGTAGGCCTCGACGAGAGTGCTAAGAGACAATTCTGGGAAGACTTAGATGGCCTGATTAGAGCTGTACCTAATAGTGAGAAGCTTTTTATAGGAGGAGATCTTAATGGGCATGTAGGTACTACAAGCACAGGTTTCGAGGCAGTTCATGGAGGTTTTGGATATGGTAGTAGGAATTAGGAGGGGGAGGAAGTTCTGGACTTCGCGGTAGCTTTTGACCTGATGATAGCCAACACTTTCTTTAGAAAGAGAGAATCTCATCTAGTGACCTTCAGTAGCGGACAACACTCTAGCCAGATTGACTTTGTCATCGCAAGAAAAAAGGACAAACGAACATGCTTAGGTTGCAAGGTGATACCAGGGGAGTGTGTTGTTTCTCAACATAAGCTTTTGGTGGCAGACTTTCGTTTTCAGGTGCATGTCCGTAGGGATAAACAAGCTAAAGATTGAAAGAACAAAGTGGTGGAAACTGAAAGGGGAGACGTCAGAGGTATTCAGGAAAATGGTTATCAAAGAGGGGCTCTTAGAAAGAAGAAGAGGACATAAACAACATGTGGGAGAAGATGACAACCAACATTCGGAAGGTGGCCTCAGAGGTGTGTGGAGTAACCAAAGGAAGTGGAGGCGAGGCTAAAGATACTTGGTGGTGGAACGAGTAAGTCCAAAGGGTTATTAAGGAGAAGAAAGAATGCTATAGACGCTTGTACCATAACAGGAGTGTGGACAATATAGAGAAATACAAGGTGGCAAAGAAGACTGCAAAGCGAGCTGTAAGTGTGGCAAAGGGTAGAGCGTACGAGGATCTTTACCAACATTTGAGTACGAAGGAAGGAGAGAAGGACATTTATAGGATGGCTAGGGTTCGTGAGAGAAAAACAAAGGACTTCAACCAAGTTAAGTGCATTAAGGATGAAAGGGAGCATCTCTTGGTGAAGGAGGATGAGATCCGACATCGATGGCAAGAGTATTTTGACAAATTGTTCAATGGTGAGAATACAGACACAACCTTTCAGTTGGATGACTCTTTTGATGACACTAATAGGCGTTTTGTGCGGAGAATTCAAGAATCTGAGGTCAGAGAGATGTTGAAAAAGATGAAAGGAGGTAAGGCGATGGGACCATATGGTATCCCAATCGAGGTGTGGAGATGCCTAGGGGACATAGCTATAGTATGGCTAACCAAGCTGTTCAACCATATTTTTCGATCGAACAAGATGCCTGACGAGTTGAGAAGTATATTGGTATCGATCTACAAAAATAAAGGAGATATTCAAAGTTGTACTAATTACCGGGGAATTAAGTCGATGAGCCATACTATGAAACTATGGGAGAGAGTTATCGAGCATCGCTTGAGAGCAATAACGCGGGTTTCTATGAACCAATTTGGTTTCATGCCCGGAAGGTCAACCATGGAAGCCATTTTCTTAATAAGACAAGTTATGGAGTGGTATAGGGAGAAGAAGAAGAACCTACACATGGGTTTTATTGACTTGGAGAAGGCTTATGATAAAATACTAAGGAATGTTATGTGGTGGGCTTTGGACAAACATAAAGTCCCAACGAAGTACGTCGGGCTTATTAAGGACATGTACAACAATGTTGTGACTAGTGTTCGAACAAGTGATGGAGACACGGATGACGTCCCGATTAGGATAGGACTACATCAAGGGTCAGCTTTGAGCCCTTATCTGTTTGCCTTAGTGATGGATGAGGTCACAAGGGACTTACAAGGGGACTTGGTGTATGCTTTTCGCGGACGATGTAATGCTAGTTGATGAAAGCCGGACAGGAGTGAATCAGAAACTGGAGTTATGGCGAGATACTTTAGAGTCCAAAGGTTTTAGACTCAGTAGAACTAAAACTGAGTATATGAGATGTGACTTCGGCACTATTACTCGGGATGAGGAAGATATTAGTTTGGAAGGTCAAGTAGTGCCTAGGAAGGATACCTTTCGATATTTAGAATCAATGCTACAGAGAGATGGGGATATTGCTGAATATGTTAGCCATAGAATCAAAGCAGGGTGGATGAAGTGGCGCCAAGCATTTGGTGTCCTATGTGACAAAAGAGTACCACAAAAGCTAAAAGGCAAGTTTTATAAGACGGCGATTAGACCTGCTATGTTGTATGGTGCAGAATGTTGGCCTACGAAAAGATGACATGTTCAACAGATAACTGTCGCGGAAATGCGTATGTTGCGTTGGATTTGCGGTCATACAAGAAGGGATCGAGTTCGGAACGATGATATACGTGATAGATTAGGGGTAGCACCAATTGAAGAAAAGCTTGTCCAACACCGGTTGAGATGGTTTGGACATGTCCAACGGAGACCTCCAGAGGCACCGGTGCATAGTGGAATCCTAAGCCAAGATAGTAACGTGAAGAGAGGTAGAGGAAGACCGAAGTTGACTTGGGTAGAGGCAATAAAATGATACTTGAAAGGATAGAATATACCCAAAGACTTAACCTTAGATAGGAGTGCTTGAAAAACAGCTATTCACGTGCCTGAACCTTGATTGCTTCTGCTGGGTTTCAACTCTAGCTTACCCCAACTTATTTGGGACTTAAATGCTTTGTTGTTGTTGTTGTTGCTGCTGCTCTATATATCGTTGATTGCTTAATTCGTGTTGCTATGCCCTATCTTCTTTAGATAATGGAAATAAATCTGGCTTCATCTCCTGTCTCCAAGATAATCAGACCACTTATTACAGTATTGTGTAACCACACAAATGTCACACTCAAAACACAATTCTAAAATTATAAGGCCATCCAAAGGACACAGAAAAATCCATTGCCATTGCCTCTAGCATTATCCAGTCTTGGATAATGTGCTGTTTATTGGCTTCATCCCGCTCTAATTGCACCCATTGGCGTAGCCAATGCGTTCTCTGAATATAATCTGCAAAAAAGTTTTGGGTCGACACTTGTCAAAAACAACTGTGTGAGCCTCCACTGTGTGACTGTGATATGCTGCAGACTGTCCTTCTGTTAAGTGTTCCTGCTGCATTGAATTTCCTAAAGTATGTTAAACCTTGATTCTTGTTGATTTTGTGTTGCAGGCATATCTTGGTCTTGTAATTATAATTTATAAAAAGAAGGTTTGGAGAACCAGGTTTATTTAACCAGTGGTTGGACATGGTATCAGTTAATCTTGGGTTAGTGCATTATGTACTGGACCACATATATGGAACTCTTCTTCATCGCACCAAACTAGGAACACCATTTTTCTCAAAAGGATGGGGAGGTACCAAACTTGATTTGCTAGAAAAGATGGTGAAGCAGCTGTTTCCGGAGGCACGTTGCCAAAACTGGCCACCAACTGCTGTGCAGCCTATGTGGAAAACAGTATGGGAGACAAACAGTTCTTGTCTGCGAGAAGGTGTTTTCAGGACTACATGTGATGAGCGACTAATTGACGCATTGCCCCTTGAGAGTCACAATGCAAGAGTTGCTTTTCTTACCCCTAAAAATGTTACACCTGAGAAGATGTCATGTGTGGTCCATCTTGCAGGTACATGATTTTGTAGTTTCTTTATTTGTTCCCTAATGCTGCATAGGTTATGAAAACCTTTTCTGATATGACTGTTTGGCTTGTATGCATTTCACTTTTTTAAAAGGTTTTTGCTAGTGGAATGCTATATGGATGTATTGTCTGCTGGCTTTCTAGCACTGCCAACTTTAACATTCCTCTTTGACAACTTCCCTATCTTCAAGATATTTTTTTTCTTGCTTCCAAGTGCCAAACTTGAACAATTACTAGTACTTTTTATTGTAAGTATCATTGATTCACGAACGCCTAAGCAGCATCATAAACTTGTTCTTGCCTAAAAATGTATACTTCCATTTTATCAAAATCTGTGCCTCTTTTTTATATAAAAATATTCCTTTACTCGCATGTAATGAATTAATCTACATTTTCTGAAATATTATAGGCACTGGTGATCACACATTTGAGCGCAGGCTTCGGCTCGGTGGGCCTCTTCTTAAGAACAATATTGCAACTATGGTTCTTGAGAGGTGAGATTTGCTTGCATTCTTTTGTATGATTTTTTATCCACTGTTTGCCAAGATCTGATATCTCATGAACCACAGCCCCTATTATGGACAGCGACGTCCTAGCATGCAGCGTGGTGCGAAGCTCCAGTGTGTCAGTGACCTGTTACTTTTAGGGAAAGCCACAATTGATGAAGCTCGCAGTCTCCTTTACTGGCTGCAGACTGAGGCTGGTTACAGCAAGATGGGCGTATGTGGGCTCAGCATGGGTATGTAATACTGGTTTTCCTTTTTTTTCCCCGAACACGCAGGAGATCTGCGTATCTTTGTATGAGAGAGAGAGAGAGAACGGTCCCATACAATACAACACAACCCCCTTATTTTTTTTGAACCAGGAAAACAGCAGAGGAAGCCCCCACTGTAAGATTTTATTAAAACACAAAAACAAAAACTGAGCCAAACAAACAGAAAACACTTCAGCTAAGCCCTAGCAAGGCTAGAACAAGAAAGACAAAGAACCACTAAACACAAGAATCAACCCAGGAGAGAAAAACAGATCGCTTGTTTTCAGAAATCCTATAAGCTTGAAGTCGAGCTTCATCTTGGAGAACCCCCTTATTTCACAAGGGAATATGAAGGGGTGACCTTAAAAGACTAGGGGTAAAAATAACATACACTTGAAACAAAATAGAACAAGGAACAACCCTAGCCTGGACTAATCATGTTAGTCCTAGCCCCTGACCTGTGCCCAATTCCTGAAGCTCTCTAGCTCCAGCTAGGCCCCATAATCTCATGTCCTCTTTGAAATACTGATAAGCCATCAAGAGTGAGGGGGAGGCACCATCAAAGACACTTGTTTCTGTGAATCCATGACATCCAAGTACCTAAATTCAAGCACTGCTAAAATTACTGGTTTTCCTGATGACTGAATAAGTGCATCTTAGAAATCATGTAGCAGATTTTACAAGATATCTTGTGCATTCTTCTCAAATGGTTTCTTTGCTGATGTCACAGGTGGAGTACATGCTGCAATGGTGGGATCCCTGCATCCTACACCAATTGCCACACTGCCATTTCTCGCTCCACACTCTGCTGTGGTACCTTTCTGTGAAGGGGTCTACAAATACGCCACAGCTTGGGATGTTTTGAGAGAAGATGCTGCAGCATTAACTCAAGATGTAACATCTTTGGCAGAAGATGCTGCACAGAAAACTGGGATTACTATCGAACAAGTCAGAGATAGGTTGCGGTCAGTGTTGTCTTTGACTGATGTCACTCGATTCCCAGTCCCAAAGAACCCACAGGCGGTCATCTTTGTTGGTGCAACGGTTAGTGATGCTCTCCGAGCTTTATGGCCTTTTAACATCAGTTTATTATCTCAAAAAACATAATTGTTGTCCCGCTCGTCTTTTTACTTGGTTTCATGATTTTGGCAGAGTAACCACTAACCACGATCAGATTATGTCACTAGTTGACTGCCTACTTTACTATTCCTTCCATTTCAAAATACAGGGTGTATTAGTTTTCGTAAAAAGTCAAACACTATAAACTTGGATCATCAGTTAGTCAATATATGTGTGTTTAGTGCACAATGATATATCAATAGATTTGTGTTTATGCCTTTTAGTAGGATGTTTATTTGTAGTAATTGCTTATACACTGAGAAATTAATGGTCAAAGATTATCTTGAAAAACTATCAAATCCTGTTACAGCTTATAAAAGGAAATGGTGTGAGTACTCAAAATATGTCTTTTACCTGCACTGTTTACAGCAAACAGCAGGTTACCTTAGGCTTGAGCAATGTTGAGAAATTGAAACATACATTGATAGCAGATAGTTTACTTGAGGACTCTTTTTTTTTTAAGATTGGTTAAATTACCTCCTTATTTCAGAGGATTCGATTTCTTACTCGGTAGTCTTATTTATCTGGAGCATTCTTCTAATCTGGAGCTATGTTCTGTTTACAGGATGACGGTTATATTCCCAGACATTCAGTCATGGAGCTCCAGAAGGCATGGCCAGGTTCAGAAGTCCGGTGGGTAACAGGCGGCCATGTTTCCTCTTTTTTCCTCCACAATGACGCATTTCGCAAGGCCATCATCGACGCCCTTGATAGATTGTAACACCAGAAGGTGAGAGAGAAGTCATCCTTGTCATGGCACTTTATGTTGTGTGACTGTTCTGAACTTGGGGTTGCGACATCTGCTGAACCCTGTAACCACATTTGACATTTCATACTAGGTACACCCTGTACTGAAGTTTATTTTAACTACAATTTGTCAACCTAACTGCTCTTTTTCGCGCTGAGATTGGAGGGAGGCTGGCTGTACATGACAATTGTAGCATGTAGCACCCCATTATTTGGCAATAGTTATGCAATAATTTGTTTTCTCACCACGTATCAATCTGAATGCTACATCTTCTGAGTGTCTGACATGTCAATCAGCTTGGCAATTGGGCAGTTTCAGTTATTATTCCTGTATACTATTTCATATTCATACTGCTGAATCAGCTACTGCTTACTATTACCCTTTATATATACTCCACAGTTACATGTGTATAAACACTCCTAGAGGCTAGAGCTGATGTCAAATAAGCGAGAAATGGGTCATCTGAATTCCTGATCAGTGATCACCTCTATCTGTATCTCTGAAACTATCCCAGGCTGAGCAGGCTCTTATACTGTCTATAGTAAACCGTCTCTACTTTGGTAGGGCGGTCTCTGGCTGGGGCCGGCCGCCGGGTTGCTCGCCGCTGGAAGGCCTGGCCGGGTGTGCCAGAGTTCGCTGAGGGCGCGGAGGCGGTGGGAGTAGTCGGCGATGGCGAGGAAGCACCGTGCAGACTGCCGCGCCGTCAGGATCTGCGGCAGCCGGTGCAGCGCCTGCAGCCTAAGCGCGTCCGCCTGCAATGCAATGCAACCAAGCACGCGTTCACCATTGTTGCTGTTACCATTTCATCATGGGAAACACAAAATGCTTGCAGGCAGGCAGGCATGTGCTAGCTTTGCTTACTTGTCTGACGAAGGCTTCGAGGGAGGCGAGCTTGCTGATGGCGAGGGACATGGTGGCCATGAAGTCGGGCACGTCGGAGTAGGGGAAGAGCAGCGCCGCCGCGTCGGAGGAGACGGCCTCCGAGACGGAGCGGTGCATCGCCTGGAGCTCGTGGTCCAGCGCCGCCTCCGCGTCCCTCGCCCACTGCTGCACGCCGCAGACGCCCATCGCCTGCTGCTCCGTCAGGGGCTCCGCGTGCCGGGCCGCTATCTGCGTGGGGATGCATACTGCATGGTTAATTCATTGATATCTTCAAATTACTCTTTTTGAGAAAAAAAATAGCAGCATTAATAAATAATCAAAGTTGAAAGTGCTACCTTGCTGATAAGAATTGAAATTTGGACAACTTAACCATGAAAAAAAGCACGCACGAAATTAATTTTATTAGTATATTATACATATGAATATACTCCATTATGATGTTCAGCGTTAGAGGAATGAACTACCGATAGGTAAATGAATATGAGCTTTTAACACCCGGAGATAGACTGATGTGGTCGGTGAACAAACGGACGGCTGGGATGGGTTTACTGGTGATGAACAGTGGAGCAGTGAAACCCTTGGCTCAGACACGAGATCTTAATAATATTATATGATATATGATATGATATGTATATCTATATAGAAAATAAAAAATCTCCTCTAAATTTTCATTGTCACTCTATGCCCCGGTCCTCACCATCCATGAGTTAGAACAGCGCATGTTCCGTCACGATATAGAGTCTGATTTTAAGAGATGACCCAAGCTGCACGTGAGCATGCTTACTAGTCTAATATTAGAGGCAACAAATTTTCTCTGTTCGTTCCTCTTTCTTACACCTCTTATTTCATCACTCCCTCAGCCGTTTGTCATCCCTCACCTACATACCTCTTCTCCCATCCTTTGATCCGTCGTTTCTCAATACTGCTTTTCTCGTCTTCACAAGTGGCAAACATAGACTCTCCAACTCTTCCCTCCTTCACAAGTACAAGTGGCAAACATAGACTCTCTAACTCTTCTTGCCTTCACAAGTGGCAAACGTATATAAACCCAGAGTCTGAGGCTTGGGTGACAAACATACGTCCATGGCAAAGAGTTCGAGGGCCGATAGATAGTATCCTCCTTTAACATGACATTACCTATAGTTTGGAACTACAAATAGATTGTATCCTCTCGGACACGACGTTGGTTACAGTGTAGAACTGCAAAACCTTTATTGATGCTCGACGCTCTTATCGTAGCCTCGCTTCCTGAGCCCATGCCACATGCATGTGTGTGGCTACATTTCATCTTTCTTAACCTCATGATAGGTGCACATTATAAAGCCATCCCTTTAAACCGGGTCAATATCTAGTTGATTTTCTATATGGGATCAATCCCTTCGCTGTAAGAGATGCTACCTTCTGTGACTGTTCAGATAATGATGTTAACTGATTTTTTTAACCATAGTTTGTATTTTATGACTCTCTAGTGATAAAACTGTTGTCATCGTAAAAGAGAGGAGAGGGGCACGCATGGGAAGAGAGATGCGGGACAGAGAGTAGCCGTAGCGCATGACGTGCATTGCTCACCCTTGTATCTTCGCTGCGCAAGGACGACTATAAGGGAGGAGGAGGCAGAGTGTGAGAGAATGTGGCAGCCTGGCCATTGTCAGGCCGGAAGAAGGAGAGAAGGAGCAGTCCACGCCCCAGTTGGCTTAGAAAATAGATAAGATGGGAAATAAATGGTCCAAAAGCTCGAGGTAGGTTTGGGTGAGAAAAAAAAGTTGGGCTAAGAGCAAGCCTAATAGTATAGCCTGTTGCTGGCTGAATGGATCTTTACAGCATATCTCTCAGCCTATTCATATAGTAGTTAACTCTTTATTATTAATACATGGCTTATTTGTCTCTCTCACAAAGTTTCTTTCTTGGTTCTTCTGTCTAAGTCGTCCAGCCCGTTTCTCCTCTTACTCCTCCACCTTAGCATACAACCCACTCACAACACTTTACTGTACTTGCTCTAAGAACCTAGAGCAAGTAAGGAAGAGAAAAGGATTTAGCTTTTGTTTTAATTCCATGGAATTCAAAGTTTAGTCAAATTCTATAAAAAGGTGACCTGAAAATTCTATAAAATTTTAGAAAAATACATTGATGCTTGAGAAACTTGGATACGAGGTTTGGTGACCTATTTTCTCTTTATTTTTTTGCCACATTTTCTGATTTAGTCGAAATAAGGTCCAGTCAAGCCTAATTAAATCCAATAAAGATAGTTAGCTAATACAATGAAATGCAGCTCTCCTGTGTTTAAAAAAAAAGATAGTTAACTAATTACCATTATCATGAATTGGTCTCAGTGACTATATATACAATAAAATGATCGATACACCCTATTGTAACGTACACATACAATAAGCAGAGCTTGATGGTTTAAGAAAAAGTTCGCCTTGCAAGTTTGACAGTTTAAGAAAAAAAAAGTTCGCGTTGTATTGGGAGAATAGAGACATCTACCTATCCTTTAGAGTTGTAACAGGGACTTTTTCTTGTACTATTGTGAAACCCAGGGTTGTTGGTCGTTCCCAAGTTGCAAGTTCCAAGTCCCAACCAATCCATCTAGAAGCCGAAAGGCATACACATATGTGTCAAGGCCAAGCATGTCCTTTGCATTGTTGTAGGTAAGTTAACCAAACCCGTCTCCATCTCCCATCTAACCTACCCTGTTGCAGTTGCAGTAAGTACCCAGTCACATAGTAGTAGTAGATGGCTGCTGGTACTATATAGCTAGAAAAGTCCGAAGACAATTCCAAAGGCCTGAAACTGTTCCCATCAACGTAACTGGGACCTCTTACCTACCTAATCAGCTAGTAGTAGTATATATATTTCTCCATTGATGCTGCTTTTACCTAATGTCTCTGTCCATTATTAGTACCAAATAGCACCTGAATCCTTAAACTTTTCATATGTATTTTATGTATATATATGTGTGTATTATTGTCGTCCTACATCATCAGCACGTACAGGAACCTATATGCATAGCTGTCACTCTCACTCATGAGCCGTGAGTCGTGACTCGTGAGACATGCACGCATGCCTCGTGCCAAAAACAAGAAGGAGGCAGCTCGGCAGGAACTGTGTGTCATTGTGTGGGTCAAAGTTAAGACACGCAGTTCTACAAAATTAATTTCGTGGACTTGATTGTTGGGAACACCAATTAATTAAAGAAAGGAGTAGCACGCAATTGGTTGATCATACGTGAGTGTAGCCTGTGAGCTCATGCTTACAGAAACTTGAGCTCAGCGTAAAACTAACCTTGATGAGCTCTGAAGGGCGGAAGCCGCCAATCCAGAAGAAGCAGCGCTCGGCGGCGGACACCCACGCCCCGGACACGAGGTGGAACGCGTCGGTCCTCGCCGCCACGGCCTTCAGCTCCGCCAGCACGCCGTGGTGCGCCGCGGCCGCGTCCACCAGCTGCCGGAGGAGCTGTGCGTCTGCCGCCGTCGCCGTCGACGTCGACGTCGTCGCCGCCGCGGCGTGCTCCGCCTCCAGCGCCGCCCGCAGGTGGCGCATCATCTTGCCGTGCTCCTCCTGCCACCTCGCGTGCTCCATGTCGAACCATGCCGCCTCTGCTCATCTCATGCAAGATTGCACTATTCATCAACTTGTGATAAACGTGTAAACGTGCAATGCATGCAAGAGAGGTAGTATAAAAAAGGAGCTAGCATGGGAGTACGTAATGTAAGAGATGCATGCATGCGAGCAGTTTAGCTAGGGTTTGAATGCGTGCCTGGGCTTAGTCCGCCACTGCAACCTGCAGAAAGAGCTCCACCACCAAACACTGCTCCCTGGTTGATTTGTTTGGCAAAATGCACACGGAAAAAAACTCAGTCGGTACGTTTATGAAAGTATATGGAACTATATTATCTTCACTTTTATAATAAGCTTATGCAGTTGTTTTTTCTTAAAAAATGATCATTATTCTGCCTAGTAATAATAATATAACTAGATCAAATTATTAGGTTCTTTTTTTGGCAGGCCTCCCTGCTTCATGTTAATTCCAAATCTCTTCAGTAATAAAGTTGGAAATACATTGTTATTAATTTAGCATACTTCTTTTCAGT